TGGAAGTGCACCCGTAAGCAAATAAAATGCTACTCAAATGGGGGCACCCTTTGCAAGCATGTGGGGATCTTAACGCCCGGGTCCTGATTGACGATTCTGTAGGCGGGATTTGGAGAAACACCCCCATGTGAGCTTTGAGTCTGCCTTCTTCCGCCATGGTTGTTCGGGTCAATCTTGCTGCTCCACTGGCTGCCATGTTCTAATCCCCTAAACCCTATAATATAGTAGCCTCCATTTTCGTTTCCGTTATCCCAATGTAACCCCAATATAACCCTCATAATATCTCAATGGGTACCAGAATGTATATCGAACGGCCTAAAGCTCAAAGCTCCGAAGCTCTTGGGTAGGTCCGCCTTCAAGGCAAAAAATACTGGAATCCAAACAGATGCTGAACTCAATGTGAGCAGGGGTTATATAGAGGATTATATAGGGGACTACTACAGGGGAAAGTTGGAGTTTAGACTATAGCTCATGTAAGCCCTTCAGTGACAGGACAATATAGGTAGTCTTTGTTGCCCTTGCGTTCTTCCACACTCATTCGAGGAGCATGCCGCCAAGCACGTTGCTAGCGGTTAGCGAGCGATGGGAGTCTTCTCTGTATAATCCATCACTGTAGTCCCTGTATGGTATTCCTTCATTCCTCACTAACCACAGGAAAACGTTGTGCTTCGGAGATCTCTCTATTTCTACCTTATCCACGAAAACAAACGATGTCCATGTATGTGCTGAACTTAAGACTAAACAATGAAACCGACATTCCTGTATGCTCTTTTGGACCGCAAAGTTCTTAGACTGTTCTTCGCTCAGACGGCACAAAAATGTCCGCTGGATAAAAAATGGCTTCGTACGCATTGCTCCCGATCTGGAAGGATTTATCAACGCAGATTCTGATCCAAAATTCGGTCAACTGGGTGTATGCTTTAGCTGCGGATGCCTTGAAGAAGCAACCGCCATATACAGAAAACCCTCACCAAGCCCCAGGGCCCTATTGCTATTACGCGAAAACCTCGAGGCCAAACCCTGAAACCCTAAAATTCTGAAGCAACACACAAACCCTGAACCCCAAAGCACTAAACCCTAAACCACACAAACCCTCAAACCCTAAAACACAACACAAATCCGTCTGCCACAGCGTCAGTGCCACGCGGGCGCGCGCTCCCGGGGGCTCGTTCATCTGCCCGTACACCAAAGCGGCCTGTAGGGCTTCATTTAGGGTTAAACAGGAGGGTTTAGGGTTTAGGGTTTAAGTAAGCTTTAGGGTTCCGGTTCAGGGTATAGGATTTGGGGTTTAGGGTTCAGGGTTTAGGATTTACTGTTGCTTGTGGGCCTCTTTGACATGAATGTAGGTGTCATGTAGGGCTTGGAGATTAGGATCTAGAGGCTGTGTTTAGGGTTGAGGAACTACTTGGGTTTCGTGTTTGGGAATTATTGGGGTTGAGGTTTGAAGGAACAGTTGAATGGTTTGGGATTCATTTGGGTTCAGGGTCCCAGGGTTTGGGATGTTGGGTTAAATTTGTTTCTTGGCAGGCGCGAGGCTGAATAGTCGGAGATTCAGAGTACTTATTGTCGCCCGCAAGTAGATAGAATCTGTCTTTGGGTATATTATAACAAGATCCCCATATAACCCATATTCCATCTACTTAAAGGGGATTATATGACCAAGTCAGTTATATCCATGTTATTGTATCCATATTGGGTGACCTAGGGGCCTTGTGCTTGGGTTGAAAGTACAGTTCCTGAACGTCCCAGTATGGTCACTATAAGCAGGATAGGTATGCGGATTATAGGGCTCACGACTGGTGACCAGTAAGCTTGTGGTTTACGGCTTTCCGATCTAGGGTGGGGAATGCTCATGAAGAGCTGAAGATTAGATGCTGGGATCCATCTTTCGGATCTTGTGGGGGAGGACCTAATACTTGCCCTAAACAACGGTTTAGGGCTTAGGGGTTAATGGGGACCTTAATATTTTTAGAAATCCCCATATCTGCCCACTTCATTTAGCAGGAAGCAGGGCTGGACACCTGCAACCATCCTCACAAAGTTTCCCGCCATCCATACTCCGAAGCCCCGTGAGCCCTAAAAGTCCTAAGCCCTATACCCTGCATCGGAAAATGCCAATATGTGGAGGGTTCCCAAAATTAGGGTCCCGTTTTAGTAGCCCTAAATATTCGGTGCCGTAATATAGAATAAAACCCAAAAGAGGCCCATAATTTTGAGAACCGCCCAGGTAAATCCCAAAGTCTGAACCTTCTACAAGCACAACATCTCCAAAAAACCTGCCAGGCCTACCCTTGGAGCCCAGCAGCGTAGACAAGGCACAGCTAGTGCATAAATTAAGCAAGGTACATTGAAACAAGGAAAGCCCAAGAACTTTATGCAGTTTGAGAAATTAGACCTCAATCCCCATGCCCGGCACTTCGCGCCCCAAAGCTCATGGTACTTTTCGTCACAATTAGCTGACCTTGCGGATGAATATACGCGCTTTCTGCAAAGTCTGTTACCAAAGGAGCCCCAAAAATTGGGGCCCGATCTTCTACGTTTTTGAGGCGCTCTAAGGTGTAGGAATAATGTTTGAGCCTTGGGGTCTATAGGTATTTGGTGCATGTTACAGGTTAAAGGTTTGCGCCTTTTTAAAGTACGGTTCCAAGTGGAGTACATGTACCCTACACCCCGTGTGCCGCTTCATAACCTCTATATGAACTGTATAAACCCGAAACCCTCAACCTCCCCCCGGGGTGTATAGTTTCCTGTAATTGGGCTGCAATTGCGCTGAACGTGAGGTAGGGCCTAAGGCATAACTCATGACAAACTCCCCTCCCTTATATGAAAATCTCCCAACCCCCCTCTACTATCAAATATTCCCAGTATATCATACTATGCCACAATGAAATATCTAGCATTAGTATTCGGGCAGGGTGAGGGACCCTAAGCCCTAAACCCTAAATCGTAGACCCTAAATTTTAAACCCTAAACCCTAAACCCTAGACCCTAGACCCCAGACCCTAAACCCTTGACCCTATACCCTAAACCCTCGTCCCTGAAGGGGGTGATGGGTTAAAATCTTAGGGGGAGGTGATTACTCTGGCCTGCCTTGGAGCCAGGTGCTTTGTCCTTCCTTGGAGAGGGAGGGTTTTAGGGTTCAGGGTTTAGGGGTTTAGGGCTTTAAGGATAGGAGTTTGAAAGTGTAGGGCTTAGGGGTATAAGGTTTTAGGGGTAAGGGCTTAAAGGTGTAGGGTTTAGGGGTTTAGGGTTTCAGGGCTTAAGATTTTTAGGGCTTTAGGGTTCAGGGTTTAGAGATTTAGGGCTTCAGGGCCGGGGTGGCGGATTTGTAAGTTCCGGCTTTGGGGCCATGAGGTCGAGGGTTTCCGTGGTTGGGGCTGCGCAAGACCAACAACCAGAAGATGGCATGTACTACAGGGTTTAGGGTTTTAGGGTTTAGGGTTTGGGGCCTGAATGTTTACCAATATCTTTTTGAGGTCCATTTGAGGCACCATATACGATAATTATACAAGGAATATGGAACCATGATGTTGGTAACTATTTAGGCCCATACATTGAGTTAGACTTCTCTGCGTACCAGGTTCCTTTGTGGAGTGAGAAGACACTTACAAACCTATCAACTTCTATGAGCCAAAACCTTTATCTCTAACCGTATTTCTAAACCAAAAACATGAGCCCTAAAATCTAAGCTGTGTGAGACCGGGTTACTTGATGACGCCGCTGGCCATCATCTCGTGGTACAGGTCGTTACCCTCACGGGTGCGCTCACCTCTGCTGCTAGGAGCTATTGCTAAATATAGGGATTGATGCGGATATATGATCCCCAGAAAGGAGAACCAAATAGACAAGGAAATGGAAGGCCTCTAGACCCTCAAATGCCATCGTACTATCAAATTGACGTCAGAAGTTCGTCTTTTCAACACAGAAGTCTAGCTGAATGCAATGAAAATCATGTCGCTGCTTGCCGCGATCAGGAGGCCCCACCTCTAACCTGGAGCTAAATCCGCGCCCTTCTGTCAACTGAAGGATTATGATTCCTATTAGGATTGTTGTGCCTGGTGTCAAAACAATGCTTCAAGACAACATAATGCTGCGTTTTGCAGCTTCAAGAAACTGTGGTCCCTTTTTGGGGGTGCCGATGCCCAGGATTGCAGAACTTGCGATATTCTATACATGGAGGACATCTATATGAGCTATAGTCTAAACTCCTAGTATCCCCCTTAATAACCCCTATAATCATCCCCTAGATAATCCCCTATATAACCCTTTTTTAAGAAGTTTAGACTATGGCCCACATAGGCGGCACATGGTGGCACAGCTTTCGAGCTGAGAGCTGCACCCACTCCAGCGAACACGCTATAACCACCGTGCCTCGGAAGAGCGAAGAGTTTGTAGTCATTGAGCTGTTTCTATTCTAGGTGCGTGGCTTGGGGTTTGAAAGTGAAGGATTTTGCGCTGCGGACTTCGTGAGGGGAAGGAATTCAGCTCTGGATATGTCGGACACTTGGGGTGCTCTCTTTCAGCTTTGGAGACAGCTGTGAAACTCTATAAACATTGAGGATGTGCGGTCTGCTGCATGATCATCAGCGACCCTCTGATAATGCGTCGGCGCTGCTTGAGGGCAATGTTGTGGATCAGCTCCATGATGACAACCTGGGTAGATCAAACTTGTCTCGCCATTGGGGTCGCCATCTCTCCTTGAGCCCTTCATAATCATGGCAGTGTATCTCTGGGAATTGGGGAAGCAAACGCGAGGACCCTGGAGTAAATGTGTACACCTCTGGAGAGAGTCTGAAAGGATTTGCGGCACCGGAAAGCACGGGCGCACAACGTGAAATCCTAATCCCCAAACAGCAAAAACCTCAGCCCACGGCAGGATGCCATGCTAAACTCTGTTGCTTCTTCGTAGGTTGTACAACAGTAATCCTACGCTATCTCCCAGCCTTCAGCGCACAAGATTGTGGGGGCGATGGGATATGGCCTGGCAGGCTTTGCCAAGGCCCCCCATCCGAATACAAACCCCAAACCTTAAACCTAAGCCCGGAACGGCACACGCTCTTCCTTCCATGCGAGCTACAGTCTAAACTCCTTAAAGTGGGCTATATAGGGGATTACATAGGGGATTACTATAGGGCTTATTAAGGGGGGATACTAGGAGTTTAGACTATAATCCCTATAATCCCCTACATAACCCTATATATATATATAAAAGTTTCCATTTCATTTCCATTTTCTTTTCCATTTGATTCTCCATTATTAAGGGGATACTAGGAGTTTAGACAATAG